TACCTCCGTTGGGATAGAAGTCGAAGTGACCCAAAGTGTCGGCCGTTCCGAAGCCCTCAGTGTATGAGAGGGCGGCGTCCGTATGGATCACATCCACTATCTGTGCGTCCGAATGGTCTAAACGTAAAGCTGTGTTCTTGAAGTGAAAACCGACCCCTAATTTATAATTGAAATATAAGATATAAATATTATCTCATTATAATCATCACCGGCCGGATCGAGGGCTGTAATGCGGCCCACTTTCGGGTTATTCAGTCGTTTGCCGGCGTAACCCATAGTATGTCCGCCCAAACTGTGTCCGATTAACCAAAACCTATCATTTGTTATCTTAAACGTATTGCACAAACTGTTGATAAAGAAACCAATGAGTGCCCCAACAACTCGGGTATTAGTAGCGGCCAAGTTATAAATTGGGGTTTTTGCTCCTAATTTGATCAAATTTAATTATTTGTTTAATTAATTAAATTAATAATTTAATTTAACAATTGTTTACAACAATAAAATAATAAACCTTTTTCCCAAATAACGACCACAACATTGAATTGATCGTTGCTTTTATAGAGTATAAAATCTTTCATATTCTGTAAACATTTATTTAAAAATCAAAATAACATTTATAAATATTTAATAATATAAAATGAATGAATGATTGAATACCTCTAACCACAGGGCATATCCGCTTTGAAATCCGTGGACAATGAATGCGGTTCTAAGGGAGGCGTTGAAAGTGCTGTACCGGAGTTGGGCTGCAGTGGCGTTATAGCTATAGTTCCTGGGGATCGTCCGCTGCTCTAAGGTATACATGTGAAACATCGGACTCATAGAGTCGGGTGACATCGGCAACAGTGGTATAGCGCGCGCCGACTCGTTGTATTCGGTGGGAGAAAAACAGCCGATATTAATGAATGATTGAATACCTCTAACCACAGGGCATATCCGCTTTGAAATCCGTGGACAATGAATGCGGTTCTAAGGGAGGCGTTGAAAGTGCTGTACCGGAGTTGGGCTGCAGTGGCGTTATAGCTATAGTTCCTGGGGATCGTCCGCTGCTCTAAAGTATACATATGAAACATCGGACTCATAGAGTCGGGTGACATCGGCAACAGTGGTATAGAGCGCGCCGACTCGTTGTACTCAGAGGCAGAAAAACAGCCGATATCTCGGAAACAACTCTTGCCTAACATATCCTGATATTCTATAATTATAGAAATAAATCATTAAATGAGTGGAAATGCACTGCAAATGCAAAACAGATTTACGTTTAAATTTATCAAGTATTCCTTTCGGTCCTTTGGTGTCTTCTTCCTGTTCGGAGAACTCCTTTAAATTGACGTCTTTTTCACGTTTTTTGAAAAGACCTGTAAATAGATTTGTCACTAATAGACTGTAATAGACTAATATTGTTCAAATATATAGACAAACAACACATATTTTCTAACTACTGTACATCATTTGGATGGACTATATAAACACTAGAACAGGACTGTAATTTCATACTTGACACAATTGCGTAACACATATAATTAAAAGTGTTATAAATGTATACCAATTATGGATTTTTTGGGAGTTAGAAATGACTTTTTCTGTGCATTTGGTTCTTCATCACCGGTTGATTCCTGTGTGTCAAACGACTTGAGTGTTTGGTCTACTTCTGTGTTGTCATTGCTTTGATCACTACTAGCTTTCACTGGCGCTTTATTACCTGTACAGCGGTGGCCATCAACTGAAAGGTAATGTTTTAATTCATAGTAAACTATTAATTATAATATTTTTAATTTCATTGCTTTCTATTGCTTACGAATTAAAATGAAAGAAATAATTAGTTTTAAATTCATATTCTGTTGCCTTAAATGTTTACAAAAGACATATTTAATTACGTTTTCATTCGTAATTTAATCTCAGAAATACTTTATAATAAATATTGAATGTGAATATTTTAATGTTAAATAATTATTAATTAATCATTTGAATTAATGAAGTAATTTTTTGTTAATTTTATAAATTAATTAAAATAAATTGAATAAAAACCAATTATACTAACCGATTCTTGAAGCACTTTTTAATTAAACAAGTTAAGATATTAAAATAGGGTGTTTTATAAATATGCAACAGTTAATATTAATCAATAAACTACATTTACAATATATATGAGTAAGGCGTTGTTCACATATTACGTTCGCACTTGGGGGGAGGGGAGGGGGAAGGCCAATGCGAACTTTTGCGAACGAGTGGGAGGGGAGGGGTAGAGCCCTGAAGAACGTTCGCATTTAAACAATTTAGGGAACGTTCACATATTACATTCGCACTTTTTAAAAAATCTAG